CGGCGATTGAGTGGACACACTAGGCGATTTCACCGGCGATTGAGTGGACACACTAGGCGATTTCACCGGCGATTTAGTCGCCCGATTTAATCGCCTAGTGTGTCCGGCCCTTAAGCGTTTTGACTTTTAATAGCAAGATAAGCCACTTGACTGATTGAGATTGGTTGATGAATGCACGTGTGGTGGGACAAAAAGCACTAGCCTCCCAGTATAGGTACCCTCTGAGCATTATTATATTCGTGCATATTTCATTTCTGAGAAAAGTAGATTCTGTTAAATACCAACAAAACGTATATATTTCACATGTAACGGAAAACCATAAATGTACTGTTATTGGCATAGATGTGATGAATGCTATGGTTAGGAAGTGAAAAATAAGACCTTCATGTACGTTTGAGTTACATGCAGCCCCAGTATTTCTGTATTTGTGGGTTTAGAGATAGCTCTGAGAGACCATCTCACTACTAAAGGTTGAGGGTCTCCCAAACTAGTGAAACTTGCTAGTGGAATTCCTAGAATTACAGATGTAACAGTGGCAGCAAAATCCTACGTGCAACAACGACACAACCGTTAATTAGGCTCGTAGGGTCTATGTCCTCTTGACCTTTGTTTGACCTGGCTCGTTTAGCTATTTCTGACTAACCCTAACCCTAACCATATCAAATAGTTACCAGGGTACGTTCCGGGAGTACCCTGGGGGACATATAGACCCTATGAGCACTAGTAGTGTCACTGTCCCTGTATCGCGGAAGTTACCCTCGCAAGCTGCCTTCAGTCATCATCAACCTCATCGTGATGGATCGAGTGTCATATTCTTATTTTTAATTTTCACGTACTGTATACCAAACCTTATATGCTGGTAGTTGTATTCCATTACAATGCACGTGCTGTGAAGCAGAGAAGCACATTTCTAGAGCCATAGTAACCCACATTGGATATCTAGTAATGCCAGAGGGCCAGGTGCCTACGTGACAGTTTATTTCCTGCGTCAACGAGGCGCGTGGGCGGCATAGCGAATAGCGATGTATATATGTGGGCGCGCGAGCAGTTAAAAATAGTTGAAAAAAAAATAAATGAGGGATTATTTATTTCTGTGCATTTTCTAAGTTCTGATATACGTAATCCAAGGCGCTCTGTGCAATGGTGATACTGGGTAATACGAAACTTGGTTTAAACAAGGTTACTGAGCAATGTAAGTTCTAACTGGATATAACCTAGCTCTAGTACTATAGCCCGCGTTCATTATTAAACTGCCGCAGGTTAATGTACGCGGGCTATAGTACTAGAGCTAGGTTATATCCAGTTAGAACTTACATTGCTCAGTAAC